TACAAGGCTCGAAATTGCGACCATTTTGGTCGCATATGCTCCCGAAATTTAATCTGTGCGACCTCAAAATATATTTGGGAGCATTTGTGTGAGTGCATATAATTGTTGTCATGCGACCTGTTTTCATTTCTCTAAAAACGTTCAGAGTATGTGCCTTCTGTGTGTTGATACGGTGACCTGCCTGCCGTTCTATGAAACGTTAGGCTACATAACCAATTAAACTTCATCTTTACATTCTTAACTTTAATGCAGATTTTAGATTGGTTGATATTAGCTGTCAATCACCCAGTCACTGCTTTCCACTGTCAGGTGACAGGCTAACTACCGCAGGGAATGAAAAAGGCTGAAGAAGAGAGAAAATAAAAAAAGAAACACTGACAAGATTTCTTTTTTGAACCACCTAAAGTTACAAATAATGGTGCTGGTGATAGCGATCATGTGGTGAATGTTGATCCACCAGCCGAAAAGAAGGCGTACAGTTTTCGGAGAGTGGTTTAAAGACTTCGAGTGGCTCCGCTATGAAAATGGTTCTATGCACTGCGTTCACTGTAAAGCCTGTGGGACGGAGTTTGCAGGTAACAGCGTTCGCCACCGAATCTACACATTTCGTAATTGTTATTTTACGATGTGCGGTTTGACATTATCGAGTATATTGCAAAATCCAAACAAAACACACCTACAGAGAGTGCACGCATACATGACGTGAAGTCTAGTAGGTTAGATTAGTGCGCGCGCGCATTTAGAGTGTGTTCTTTAACGGCATGATTCAGTCTATTATAATGCATCACAAAATTCAAGATATGGGGCCTTTAAGCATTTACTACACAGAGCCGTTGTTCACTGACGAGCTGCGCAAAAAATCGTGTGAATATGAACGTGGTTTTGCGCAGCTTGCCTGTGAACAACGGCTCTGTGTAGTTAATGCTGCTCAATGTGAAAACACGCACGTGAAGGAGATTTACCGCTGATTACAGAACCAGCTTTACTGATAAGATGCGCGTTAAATATCGCATGCGATTTATCGTGCAGCCCTAGTAAAAATCTATTTAAACTTATTGGAAAAGATTCATTTCTGTCACTGCTGTGAACTGACCACCACACGGAATATGAATATTAAAAATTTTAGGAGTCAGCTGTCCACTGTAGTCCTTAAGATATCAGCACAGTAACACTCAGTCAAATTATTGTTATCGTTAAAATCCCAGAAAATATCGAGATATAATTTGTCAATATTGCACACCCCTAGCTGCCAGCCGTTCGGTGCAACTGGCAGAGCTGAATGTAAAATTTAACACCGCATACACCATCCTAACCCTCGCCAAAGAAGAGCTTAACTTTAGGTTGATTACAAAAGAAATCTGTCAGTGTTCTTTTCATTTTCTCTCTTCTTCAGCCCTTTTCTTTTTCTCGCGGTAGTTAGCGGAAAGCTGTGACTGAGAGATTGACAGCTAATATTAACCAATACAAAATCTGCATTAAAGTTAAGAATGTAAGGATAAAATCTGTTAATATATAATTTGTAGTTGTGATGCTCATACATTTTTGGTGAGTGCTCCTAAATTTTTGCTGGTGCTCCTAACTTTTTGAAGTTGGGAGCACCAGTGCTACCAAGTAAAAAAGTTAATTTCGAGCCCTGATATACTATTATTCCTAAACACCAAGTTTAGGGATCATAAACTCCAAAGAGCTAACTAGTGTAAAATGTGTAGAAAATATGTTAAAATGTGCTGATCCTGTTGTGTGTATCAGAAGAATCTCAGTGTTAGAAATCAGCGACTGAAGCTTGTTTTAATAGTCTTCACATGAAAACTTTCCAAGGATAATGTGTTTGATTTTTATATTATATTAATTGCCAACGTTTTAAATGCCACCCATAGAAATTTGTTTGATTATTTAAAAATAACATCTAAAATTATCAATGGATATGTATTTGATAACTGCTTTCAAGATTGCAACATTAATATCTATATATCTATCTATCTGCAATGCTATCAGAGCAAGAAAAAAAAGGGTTATCTATAAACTAATACTGTAATAGTACCATAAATTAATAACAATAATATTTCAACACATGACTGAAGCATCAATTGACAACTATCTGGTCACGGTAACACAATATTGATGAAGTATGATATATTATTATTCCTGAAGAGCTGACTAGAGTAAAATATATAGAAAATATGTTAAAGCATGTACTGTTCCTGAAGAATCTCTGTAGCAGAATCTTCTCTATCAGAAGGATCTCAACATAAGAAAATATAACTACTGATTTTTAAATATTTTTAACTCAAATGTTATTTATAAAAAATGTTTATTCATAAACTAATGCTATAATATTACCATAATAATAATATTATATTAATAATATTTCAACACATGACTGAAGCATCAATTGACATATAACACATGGCCATCTGGACACAGTAACGTAATATCGACAAATAATTTATCATTTTTAATATTTTTATTCTTAAACACTTGAAGAGTTAACTAGGGTTCTGTCATGAAAACTCTCAGAGGGATTGGCATGGTAATGTACATGATAATGTTAATGTATTTGGTCTTGGCGGAATAGATCTGCTACGCTGCTGCTGCTGCAGAGCAAGTACCGAGACTTGCTACTGCCAATACATCCACAACATGCTGCTGTAAGCATGTAAGAAATACTGCTGCTGCACATATAACAGATATTAATAACCCCCATATAGCATACATGAATCACCCCATAGCAGATCTATACAGGTGGAGCTGGGGAAGGTGGAGGGTTTCTGAAGTGCGCTGCCAACTGCTACAGCAAACAAAAGCCAGGTATTTGAATATTAAGCAGTAAGCTCATTGGCAATACCAATACCAATACAGGAGAGAACCAATACAGCTGCCATGTGACAATGATGTCGCCAGGTCAGATTGAGCTAGACCTATCGGACTGCGCCATCTAGAGTTTCATGCCAGAACTCTGTATTAAAATCTATAGATAATACATTAAAGCATGTGTTGATCCTGTTGTGTGTAGCAGAAGAATCTCAACTTTAGACTGATCAGATTTTTTTATCAGATCCTTGATCATTTCAGAACAGTCTGAGTGGCTCTTTCCCGTGCAGAATGTCGTACAAATCTCTCAGTGTAATTCAGGCTGTTTTTGATGGATGGAGCACCTAAACACCATAGTGGAAACAACGCGAGTTGAGTGCAGCTAAACTTCGCTTCTCATTTCACATGCAGAAGGTGCATACATTCTTATGGTAATGAACTAAACAATGACTACTTTGCTGTGAAGAACTTTACAAACAGTTTGGGTGGAATAAATTAAATAATGTGATATGACCCCTTTAAGTGTTTAGTTCAGTATGATTAAAATAGTTAAGCAGCTTATTTTAAACCAAAATGCACAATTATCAACCGACTCGGTTCAGTTTATATTTCTTCATTTAGCAGAAGCTTTTTGTGTCCCTTTATATTTTAGGACACAAATCAACTTACAAAATGTTTCAGATAACAAACTCCAGATTTAAATTTGTGCTTAACTGGCTCGTAAAATTTGTCTGCCATAAACTAACAATACTGTAAATTTGTGGACTTGTGTGCTGTGAAACCAGTATTATGGCAGATGACTAATGATGCTAATAGATTTAGACGCCCTCTATGTTAGCATGCACTTACACGCCTCTAATGACACGCTGCCTACACAACATTACGGTTCATCTCCAGTGAAATGCATTAGAATGGAGTGAACAAAGATTTCTAACAACTAAATGGCTAATCCAAACCTGCCTTCTATATAGAGGAGCAATAAAAAACGATAAACAGTAGGAAAAATTAACGCCCCGCACCCCTGTTTTCCACGAGCTATCACTTCGTTTCACCTCATCCAGGTGCTTCTATCTCTCATTTCCTCTCTTTCTCTCTGATTGAGTTCTGCCTCTCTCTGTTCCGTTGGTGCTGTACGTGTGTATGTGTGTTGTGGGCGGCCTGTAGCCCATGGTGGCACGTCTCTCATGTTCCTCTTCTCCCCGCAGGCCCTGGTTTGGCGTTCATAGCATACCCTAAAGCCGTTTCTATGATGCCCGTGGCTCCGGTGTGGGCTGCCCTATTCTTTATCATGCTGCTACTGCTAGGACTGGACAGTCAGGTCAGTTCACATGCAGACATTTTAAGGATCATGTGTGTGGTTTTTATATGATATTAATGGCCAAAGTTTGAAAGAACTATTTTTTTTAATTTTTTTTTTAGAAATCACGTTTTTTTTTTATTGCGCATTCCAAGTAATATCAATCAAACTGTAGTTGGATTGTTTTGATTAAGTAATAATAACTTAAACAAATACAGGTAATGTACAAAATTAAAGTTCATTGAAATTATGTTTTTTTTTTTTTTACATATTAAAAGTTTGTTTTATAGCAAAAGCAGTTAACTCCAAGAGGAAATTTTCTCACCGGTTAATCGACGTGTGACAACACTGGTAACATTGGGTTCTGGGGTTCATTGGGGTTTCAATAAACTTTCCTAAATAGCTTGTAAATGCCCATGCACATTTTACTTTCACTTTCGAATTTGCAGCAATTCGGCATCAGTTGCTTGAATGGATACAACAAAACGGTACAACAACAAACTCACTTATATTAAACACAGAACTTTTATTAACAAAACAAATAAAAATACACCATGCTATAGGCCTAATATAAAATAAATAACTTACACACAGTTTAAATAAAATAAAAAAACGGAAATCAGCAAACACTGTGGAGTAGTTTATTATTATAGTATATTATTAAAACAAAACTTTTTTTAGTTGAAATATAATTTTCGTTAGTAGGAAACATTAACTGAAATAAAAGAAATTCTAAAACAATTAAATAATTCAAACTAAAATGAAAATGAATAAAAAATAGACGGAAAATTTTAAACTATTAAAATTAAAACAGAAAAAAAGATTCAAAATATTAATAAAAACTATAATAGTATCTCAATGATACTAAAATAACACTGCCATGAATCTGAAGTTCCAAATGTGGAAATGATTAAATCTAACTTGAATCTCAAAGAGGTTTTTATTTCAGTTGTCAGAGGACATTTTCTTTTCATTTGGCAAAAAGTTGCCCTTGTGTGTTTTTGATTAAAATATCACCATGCAACTGAAAATATTTTGAGTTTGATTTTGAAGTGAGCCCATTAATAACACATCTTGGCTTTTTTTTTTTTTTTTCAGTTTGTTGGTGTGGAGGGTTTCGTAACTGGAATTCTTGATCTTTTCCCTGGAAAGTATTACATGCGCTATCAGCGCGAAATCGCTGTGGCGATCTGCTGTTTATTATGCTTCATTATAGATCTCTCCATGGTTACACAGGTGAGTCCTCTTAATGAAACACCCCTTCATCAGCTGTGAGAATATCAGCATCAGTCGCGTGGCTCTCCATTAGTCAGATAAGAATATAATGGTTTATCACAAGTCCTTTCTCTGGGTGTTAGATCGTCACGCTCTCATCCAGAGGCTGATCTTTCTTCACTGAAAATTGTTGCCGTATGTGGGAGTGGCGTGACTCATAAAACTCACAGTGAGGGTTTACACAAGAAAACTTCAAAGAATCACAATGAACATGTCAGGTTGTTAAGTAGCATTTGTGATACTGATTCATTGGTTTTTCAAACACAGATGAAGTTGACAAATTGTTGTGTAAAGACAACGTGAAACAACATTTATGATGCATATGACAACTTATTTCAGGGTGAAACCAAATATTAATAATGTAGGGTGGAACTAGGGATTTGATCAGTGACCTATGATATTATTGGTTAATATTAGTTTTTGAATATGGGAAAATAATAGGATATATTGTGTGTTTGTGTGTGTACCTACTTAACCATATTTTGGTGACGAATGTTGTACCCTAAAGTGAGCAAAACCTGACAAAATCGCCAAAAACCTCCATTTGGGCACATCCTCATTTGTAAAACTGGCATAAAAATAAAGTAAACCAAAGTTTTTTTGAAATTGTAAAAATGCAGAAAGTTTTCTGTGAGGGGTAGGGGTGGGTTTAGGTTAAAAAGTATATAACTATCTGTATATAAAAACAATAGAAGTCTATGTAATGTCCCCATTTAGATATCTAAGTAAACGTGTGTGAATGTGTATGTGTGTGTGTGTGTGTGTGTGTGTATACAACATTTGGTACTTGCAACCTATTTACCCTTATCTATTGTGGCATATTTTTGTTTTATAAAAAAAAAAATGTTTATTTTAATATTTTTTATTTTGTTTTATTATTTTAATTTTATTTTATGTATTTTTTTTGTTTTACAAAATATATTTTATGTCCTAGATTTTGAAATTGCAAATCTCATATAATGTGAACATAAAATTAAAATGCTCGTATAATATTTAGTTTTACTTTTCTAAATACATTTTGTTCCTTTGAACTTTCTGTTTACGTATCAAAAAATGTATCACGGTTTTCAACATTGATAATAATAAGAAATGGTTCTTGAGTACAACTCAGCATATCAGAATGATTTCTGAAGGATCATGTGACACTGAAGACTGGAGTATTGATGCTGAAAATTAATCTTTGACATCACCTGAATAAATTACTTAAAAAATTTTTTTTAAATAGAAATAAATTATATTTCACAATATTTGTACTGCAAATAAATGCAGCCTCGACTGGCATAATAGAATTTAAAAAAAATAAAAATAAATCGTACCAACCCCAATCTTTTGCTTGTATATATTTATTATTCCACTATATTATTCTACTATTTGTGAAAAATTGTCATATTTGTGTTTATTTTTCTCTAGAAAACAACATGCACTGATTGTGAGGCATTTATGAAGTTCAAAGGGTCTATTTTGATTTCATATCAATTTGCGTTTACAGGGAGGGATGTACGTCTTCCAGCTTTTTGACTACTACTCAGCCAGTGGAATGACCCTACTGTGGCAAGCATTCTGGGAATGCGTGGTTGTCGCGTGGGTTTATGGTGAGAATCTCTTCATGCAGCCGTTTTTCCATTCTCTTGTCTCATCAGTTTATCATGAGTACTGTAGGCATTTATCTTCCAGTGTTTGCTGCATTAAGAGATAAGAATAGCATGTAGGACCCTGTGCTGGCAGCAGCACTATTCTAATGCTCCACACACCCAAAAGAGCGCTGACTTCATGCCGCTGTGTGCAGGTGCTGACAGGTTTATGGATGATATTGCCCGTATGATCGGTTACCGGCCATTCCCGTGGATAAAGTGGTGCTGGTCCTTTATAACTCCATGTGTTTGCATGGTGAGTGCTGGAAAATACTCCCACCTGTTCACGCTTTTTAAAAGTGGTTACGTCTGTCAATATTTATGCCATTTAACCCCTCCTTTTGTGTTCAAAAACTGGATATAACTTTTGTATTGTGGGTCAAATTGAGCCACATTGGTTTCCATGCAATTTGCCAGAAATCAACACTATGAAAAACAAAAAAGATTCATGTAAACACAGAAAACCTCTTGTAGCTTGTCAGAGAGATTTAATAATTCCCATCTATTTCTATTGTGTTAAGGGTCAATTTGACCCATATATTTTTGTTCAAAATAAGCTGCACTAAAAAGACACCAAAAAAAGATGGGGTTCTTTTGTCATGACCATCTGAGTATATATTGGGTTATTTTAGTATCATTAAGATACTATTATAGCTTTTATTTTATTTATTTTTTATATATATATATTTTTTCTGTTTTCATTTTAATTCTCATTAAAGTTTTAGTAATATTGTGTTTTTGTCATTTTTGCATTAGTTTTCTTTTTTAAATATGTATATATAATTTTTTTAATAATTTTCATTTCATTTTTACTTTTAGTTATTTTAGTGCAATAAGATAAACGAACTAAAAATGAGGAAAAAATAAAATACGTTTCTTATATTTTAACATAAGTTTATAACATAAGTTTCTTATATTTTATTTCAAGTAACAAAAATTGTTTATGTTTCAAGTTTTAGTGAACTATAATAACCCTGGTATCCAACATTAAGTGTACTTAGTGTAAGTAAATTTCTTTGCTATTTGTACTACTTCTGCCTTTTTGTAATTTTCTTGTAATTGAGATCCAAAAATATAACAACCAAAAACAGCCTTTGGCAGCTTTTTGACAGTGAATTTTCCGTGGATGATTCAGAAGACAAGTCTTCAGTTTCGAATAAACATTGAGTCTTACATTTCGTAAAGTCTCACATATTTCATGTTTAAGTGTTTAGCAAGCTACAATATTTTTTAACCTGATTGTCAAAGTTGAATTTTGGATGGAAAATTGCATGGAAACCAATGGAGGTCAATTTGACCCACAACACAAAAGTCAGACATGTTTTGGAAAGGCTTTACAAATTTGTTATGTATCAACACTTCGCATGCTCATTCATGACCCTAAATGAGAACCATTTGCAAAATGTCAAGAAGAAATAAAGGCAGTTTGAAAATTGGATGTAGGTCAAACTGACCCGAGCAAGGTTCAAACTGATATAAAAAAACATGTTAGGCTGCTGCTCCTGTGTTGTTCAATCAGATTGTTGACTCTGATATGGATGCCATTGCTTTTTATGTCTTCAGGGTATCTTCCTATTTCATCTGCTGAACTACAAGCCTCTGACCTACAACAATGTGTATGTGTACCCGTGGTGGGGAGAGGTGATCGGATGGTGTTTGGCTCTCTCCTCCATGCTCTGTATCCCCGTTAGCCTTGTGTACAAGCTCGCTGGAGCCAAGGGAACATTCAGAGAGGTTTGCACCATTTCAACCTATTCAAAGCACTGCTCTATTTCCCGTGCACTAGCACTAATATATGAAAGGTGATGAGTAGGTGTGTTTATTTGCAAGATCCAAATTCTGAGTTTCGGCCCCACAAACAACAGTTAGTGCAAACAGTCCAAAAACAGCAATTCAGTGTAGCTGTCGATGCCATTGGAGTTGGACTATGGGTCAGTTACCTCACTGAAAAGCATCAGAATTACTCATGAGAAAGCAATGTGTGTATTTATAGTAACTAGGCTAATGGTTGTCATTCCTCTGCAGATAGACCACAATGCCTCACCCCCTCGATGTTTGCGTCCAAACACACACTGAATACTGAATACAGCTGAGGGTTGTGGCATGTATGTGTAGGAAAACTAGCACAGGATGCTGGAGGAAATGAAAAATAATAGGGCTGTCAAACAAATTAAATAGTAATTGTGATTAATCTGTTTTTATAGTGCAATACGGCATTCTGTTACTTTTTAAGGAACGAAAACTAAATAATGTTATTTTGGGGTTTAGCAATTTGTGAGGATGACACTAGGAAAATATGCTCATATCTATATAAGGATACTGGCCAGAGGGAAATTTCCTCATTCGGACTAAAAACAATCAAATTATTATTTCTCAAATTGCATCTCGGCAAACAAGAAATGAAAATATGAAAGTCAATGAAACTGCTGATATTTCATTTGTTGAGCATTGTTGTTGTTTTAATATTATTTATACTATTATAGTATATATTCTTTTTTATTTTATAGTATTTTTATAGTATTCTATAGTGTATATATATATATATAAATATTAATAATTTTATATATATTTACATTTATATATATATATATATATATATATATATATATACATACGTGTGTGTAAATATATATGTAATTTTAGTTTGGTGTTCCAGATATGATGTGGGGACTAAAATAAATTAAATTCAATTGTACTTTAAATTATTTTACTGTAAATTATTCCCTCGTTTTAATTTACATAAAATCAGGGAACAATTTAATAAATCATAAGAAAATAATTGATATTCTTTCTTTATTTATGTTTTTGCATGTCATTTAATGGTTCTATGTATTTTAATATTTCAACTTAAAATATTTTTGACAGGTAGTTGCCAAGGCAAGATTTCTCAAAAGTTTAAGTTTAATTTTTTCATCGAATAATTATAGTTTATTTTATTTCTGCTTTATTTCAATTAAAAACAATGAAAAAGAACAACCGTCCAAAGAATAAATCCGCGTCTGATTTATAAAAAAATAACTGTAACCCATCATTTGCATTTGTTAACATGTTAACTTTGTCAGTCCTAAAAAATAATGTGGGATCATATGGGAACACCTACTGATGCTCTAAATGGAAATGTCAGCACAGATTTGTTGACACAAAGTTTAGTCTGATTGTCATTAATTGTTATTCTCACAGTTACAGTAAATTGTAGTTTTCTTCTCTAAACTAGCTTGATTTTATTCAGAATGCATAGATTAGGACTACGTGAACTGCTCAAATAAGCATGTTGCCCATTCATTATGTGTTTTGTTTTTCATGCAGCGTTGGGAATATCTGACCAAACCAGTGTGGGGAGCCCATCACCTCGAATACATGGCCCCTGACACTGACATTAAAAGCCTGGCCTCTCTGTCTCCTGGAACGGAGGAGAACAAGGTGATCATTTTTGAGAGTGTTATGTAGATCAAAGGGAAATGCTACGACAACCCTCCTAAGGCAAGCTGGTTGAAGAAATTGTCAGTATTTTTTTATTTTATTTTATGGAATACTGCATCACCTTACAGTCTTAAAACAGCTGATGGAAATTGACGGTTACATTTTGTTTCATACAACAGATCCTCTAGCATGCACATTACCAGATGCTCTTCCTCTTCCACCTGTTGAAACTGCAAACTATATACATAATTTTTTTTTTATTATATGCAAAGTTTATTGCAGATATCAAGACTTGCAGGGCGAAATCAGCATGTCTTTGGAGGGGACAGTATAGTGTAGCCTATAACATTATTTCACAGAGCGGCAGAATTCCCACAGGCCACTTTCCTGAACGTGATATGGGTCTCTTTGCACTGACACGAGGATCAAATCTGAGCAAGAAGCACATGGATAAAATGAAGATTGG